TTATCAAGAATTTCAGATTATATAGAACAGGATCACCAGAGCATATATAGCAGCAATATTTGAATCATAGATGAATGGTAGACTCATAGATAGATAAATTCTGGCAAGAAAAATTGTCTAGCATGACACAGTGAACCAACTTTCCTAGCAGGAGACCTAGTAATTGATTCAATATAATCTTTCCATTTCATGTCAGAAGTTGTTTTTCATCATAACCACTCAGACCATCAATCTATGATAATTAGTTAACAGACATAAAGAAATGAATAAGATAAGTTCAGCTTAAAACATTTAATTGGCAACCATTTATTTCAATCAATGGCTCTTGTCAATTTTTAAATTAATTTACTTCAGTTTCCTTTTCCTGATATTTGTTTCCTGAAATGAACTTAGTCTTTAAAATTATTTTTATACATAAGTTAGTATTTAGCAGACTGCAAAATGTAATTATTATAGATATATGATATGTGTAAGGATATAGAAGATGCTTATCTCCCTTTGGTGGAAATAAGCCACATGAGTCACATGATGCCGCTTCGTGATATCACTCCATACAGTGATTAAAGTGGCAGTCATTTTTCAGTTCATAGACAACAACCAAACAAGATAGTCACTTTCTTCTAGCCTGAGCCAAAGGTTATAAATCTGTCTCCCCAGCAGCTTACAAACATGTGGTGCCATTTCCCTTTCGGACATAGATGAATCTGTCCCATTTACATCTGGAGTCTTAAAAATAGCTTCTCCAGATCAGAAGTATCTCCAAATTTTATGTAAGACCTTTCTTTTTTCTTTCTCCTTGCACCCTGCTTTGCTGTGTAGATATATGTGATATATAATTCTCCATATGGGACATGTGTGTATATGTATATTTTAATATATTTTCTGTTTTTATACGTTATTTTTATGGATACAACTTATTTAAGTAAATGCTGTACCCTTAATTAAACAGTATTAATTACATTTATGGGCCTGAATATTTGAGAAATTTTGCATAAAATTTCCTCTGTCAGGAATTGAACCTGTTATCTCATATGGAATATGTTGGAGGACGCATTTGGGCTTCTGATGAAGTCCACCCCCAATTTAAAATAAAAATGCTATAAAGAAACAAACACAAACAACTGTTTTAGTAATAAAAAGAAATAAGAATTTCATAAAATCATCTGCATACTATCAGTTACTCAAGTCCAATGTGAGAAGACATTTTCATAAGACAAGGTTATAAAGACATAAAGACAAGGTTAAAAAATTGCTATCTGAGGAGAATTTAGAGTTATACATGTTATCCATTGAAAAGGAATTGTTAGATGAATTGGATGCAGAAGCAATTATTGGAAGATTCAAACAATCATCTTGTGAACACAAATAATTGCTCTTAATATAGTGGACTTCATGTAATTTTCTATTATACTTTTGAACTATCTGTTAATGTCTAAACTGTGCAAAAACTAAACTATTTAAAAATATCAACCAATTACTTAAAATAAAAAAAATTAAAAATTAAATTATAACATTCTGTATTTACATTTGTTATCTAGTGCCAGTAATATGTACAGTATATGTATACTGTAATTACTAAGAAAACACATTACTACAAAAATTTTAATTATACCCTTTTTTCATATGTATTTTTTAAAATTTTATTTTATTTATCTTTAGATGCAAGGTGTTACTTGGAATGAAAGAAAATGAAAAGTCTTTTGAAGGAACTGGAAAACTAATCCTAAACAAGAAACAGATGATAAAACTCTAATTATTTATAATTAAATGATAGCATTGAAATTATAGGTGGGCCACCCATTATCACCTGGCAAACAATATTTTTAAACCTAATCTGCCACTGTTCTTATTAATACAATATCTTAAAGTAAAGTATAGAGATTACTGAAATAAATATATGAAAAAAATATAAAATATAAAAAATAGAAGATAGGAATATTTTTCTAAAACAATTCATTCTTAATTTTAATATTTACTTGAACTTTTAGAAGCCAAGTAATGATATTTAGTTTAAATTGTGATTCAAATTAAAATTTAATTCCAGAGTAGTTATATAACTGAATTCTATTTTTATAGTCAACAAATGGAATAGATTTTGAATCAGATTAAAGATGGGTTTTGTTTTCTTGGAACCTTCTTGTTCATCAATAATCCTGCAAAATTTGGATAAATGTCTAAAAGATTAAATAGCCATAAATTTTATTTCTCTATAAAATATTTAGAACACAGTATATAATTTTTTTTTCTTGAATTAAATCCAAAGCAAAAAAACAAAACAAATTCCAATAGCAAAAATAGAACAAAAAATCTTTTGAATTTAAATAAATCAATAAATATATAAAAAAACAAGTTATTAATTTTTATTCAAAATTTTTGGTAATTTTCCAGAAAATATTTTAAAATGAGCCAATGAATAAAATATTTTATGATGAAATTGACAAAAAAATTGAAAAGATGAAATGCATAAAAAGAGGAGTTATTTCCTGCTGCAAGCAGATTGAAAAATCCATCTTGTTGCTGTTCTCTTTTTCTGATAATTATTCTCTAAATCTATGACTCATTCCAATGAGAACATCAACATTGCAATAAAATGGCTGTTTATATTATTGCATTCCTACTACTTTGGCCAAACTATTTAGGGACACTCGCAGCTCAGAGCTAAAATCACACATTATCCTATCAGTTATATTAACACAAAAGCTACCTGTCTGATATTTTATATCTCCCATGCTGAAAACATTCCTTTACAAAGCTATATCGACATAAAAATATACATACATACATAAAGAAAAACTCAAAATTCTAGAGGATATTGAAATAAAAAAGAAGCAGCTAAGATTAAATAAGGTATGTTTCTCCATAGAGAAACACATATTGAAGTGTGTTTAAAAAAATGCACATAAAAATTCCAGTTTGATCCTAAATGATGTTGTATTGAGTGACTTGAAATTGGTTCCTGCAAACATGAATGCCTGAAAAAAGTTGTGTAAATATACACAAAACACAATCCTTAAAAACGAATGTAATAACATTTGAAAGTATATGGAAAAATAGTATAAAATAAAAATGAATATTAACTTTGGCAAATTTACCGATAACATAAAACAACTAATTTGGAAATTTGAAAAATTTAATAAAAAATTTGATAGACAAAAATTCTTGATATTATTTAACTAAACATATTTGAAATCTCTCTCTCTCCCTCTCTCTCTTTCTCTCTCTCTCCCCCTCTTTCTCTCTCTCTCCCTCTCTCTCTCTCTCTCTCTGCCTCTTTCCACTACTTTAATCAAAGACATTATTAAGTGTTCAATTGGACTTTTTAGATAAGTCTTATTCCTGAGCCTGGTGCTGTGTCTGGTTTAGACAAGCATTATCCTATCAATTCTATATTATATTCACCCAATGTCTATATATATATATATATATATATATATATATATATATATATGCATTTTCTTTATATTAATTAAACATTGTTTTTAGAGGACACCCATAATTGAGTTGATGCTCCATTTATTTATTAAATAGTATATTTATTTATTTTCATCTACTGGTCTGAATATACAAGAAATCTTATTAAAGAAAAATATGTACTCTCTGGCAGGATTAGAATCTGTGTCCCCCTTGGCAGGGGAAACCACCACTAGATCCAGTGTACTTTAGACCATCTTAGCCACAAAGTGTGCCAATGATATGCAATTTCTATAAATATTTTCATGGTAATTGTTCTGATGAACTTTACTCTTTAGTATCTACATTTTACAAATTTAAGTATACTACTAGATTAACAGCAAGGTATCATCATTTTGCAGTTGGAATGACTAGATGTAGCCATAATTTCTATACTAGCAGTTTTTTTTCTCACACTTCTCATCTGTGGAATTCTCTTCAGGCCCCTTGCTTTCCAGTTAACTTTAATCCTTAAAAATTTAAATGCATTATCAATCATTATCTTCTCAATTTCTGTTCTTTTATAATTTTCTCTTTTTGATAATGTTTTCTTTTTTCATATTTTCTAACACTCAGTAACCCCTTACATCTTAGTGGCTTTATTACCTTACATGGGGTGAAATATTGGGATAACTATCATATTATCAGCATCTCTCAATATCCTATCTCTTCAGAAAACATATGGTCACAAATCCCTCTTTTTCACATCCCATAATATCAACATAAATTGACTTTAATTATTTATGTTAAGCTTGACTTTTGATAAATTAAGTTGGTATTCAGAATCTAAATCCTTGCATGGTGTTTAAATAAGCACTTTAGCATCAGAAGCAATCTGATAATGTTATTATTAAAAACCAATCTTGTACAAATTAAAAGGTTTTATAATTTGATTCTTGATGCTATAGACAAAATTAGAATTCACAGTTTATGCATAAAATTAATATATTTAATAAACAGTAATAATATGCTGATGATGTAATTTAATAATATTGCAAACACATTTTTAGTTTAGAGCCAAATTCATTAGAAACATATATGAGGGTTTCAATAAATATAAAATATTTATTAAAAAATAATTTTTGAGATGAAAATGTGTGTGTGTGTGTGTGCGAGTGTGTGTGTGCATGTGAGAGAGAGAGAGAGAGAGAGAGAGAGAGAGAGAGAGAGATTAAAGACACCAGACAAGGAATTGTTTTTCTTTTAGATAGATAGATAGATAGATAGATAGATAGATAGATAGATAGATAGATAGATAGATAGATAGATAGATACAGACAGACAAAGATAGATAGATAAATATAAACAGACTGAGATAGATAGTTACATCCCAAAGTGTTTGTGAGTATGTGTCTCTGTGCAAGCTATAATGAAACTAATTTAAAATTTAATTTATTTTCTTCCATTTTTGATAAAAACTGAAAACAATTGAAAATTCAAAACTTTAACAAGAATGAACATGGTCTGTGCACAGTTCTCAAACTAATGAGTTTAAAAAGACAAATTTATTTGAAATATAATATATACAATATATCTTTCATCAACAAAAC